CTCTTTGGGACTAACGTGTTTAAGAATCTTATAGAAGCCCGAAGATTGAAAAAATCAAACTAGGAAAGAAGATTTAAAATCCTTGTTCAATCTGACGTTGGTGGTGATATTATGGTAAATATGACGGTTCAGCGAACAACGTGCCAGGACCTTTTGCGCTTTTCCCTAATAACAGGAATGTTGGAATTGTCCCTCAATATAACAATGCCTGGTACTCCCAGCATGAATGGTGTTTGAGAGACGTAATAGGACTCTTATGAATATGGTAAGGAAGTATGAATTAGGTCATTCTACTTTACCTAGATGTCTCTGTGGGCTTGAAGCATTACACCAGAAGAAGCAACTTAATGCTTCTGCAATAGGATTCCATCTAAAGCAGCTTGCTAAAAACAACCTTATGAACTTTGGATGACTGGACGTAAGCCTAGTCTAAGAGCATCTCATGTTTTTTGGGGCTGTCCAGCTGAAGCAAAGGCCTTACAAGCCGAATGAAACAAAAACTGGACCGTCAAAAACTATCAGCACTTACTTTATTGGATATTCTGACGGGGATCTAAGGGTTATAAAGTTTTTATAATCCTATTCCAGAACTTTTTTTTTGAAATGAGAATTGCAACATTTTTTTGAGGATGTTGATTTTGGAGGAGAAATAAAGAAAGAAACATTGGTCCCTTTCGAAAGAGGAACCTAAGTAAGGATGATTCGGTTCTCATTCCTTTTGTTGTTTCTTGATATAAGCGTACAACTCCAGTTACTGTGTCCTGTCGCTTATTGCAAGATTCCACCTCCCAAGGACTAATGCTATTCTTACCCCGAAGAACAAATTTCAACAACTCAGAATTAGAGCCTGTTCAAAATGCCTTTTGAGGAAGATCTACTAGGGAAAAAAGAAAAAGTGTTATTCCAGATGAATTATATAGTGTTCTTCCAGGAACATTTGATAGGATACTGTAAGACATGATAGATAATGGATTCTCACAGTTAGTTTTCTATCATGCCCATGCAGAAGTTTCTGAAAACTCCCATAAGTGGGATTGAGGCAACTTGAAAGAAGAGTATGAATTCTACTATGCAAGACAATCAAAGTTTGGGATTCTTGTTCATTACTGAAGGAAAAGAAACTCCATTGGTTTTGCAAAATGGGATATTTTAAAACCAAAAGGGATTCTCAAGGTAATTTGGAAAAGATATAAAAATAGCAACGTCTTTGAGCAAAAGGCCTTTACTCCAAAAGGACAAAGGATTGACTTATAAAGAAACCCTTCTCTCCCAGTTTCTTTCTTCGAAGGATTCTTTTTTAGGACAATCATGGCCTTAAGTTTGCAAAAAATCTTTGATCTTGAGCTTCCATCAAATTGGATGTTAAGACTTGTGTTTTCTCAATGGCGACATTGTGAAACAATATAATTGTCAACTGGTGGCGGGCGTCACCTCCTCAAATCGTCATAGGCCATGTGATGCATATGATTGAATGAACTGAGAAGGAAATAGCACGTGATGGTATGTGAAGTCGCGTCGCCAGAATGATTTAGGTGTCTTGTTTAAAATTATTTTAGGGGATAAACCTAGGGAAAAACCCTAAGTGACTCACATTTTTTAAATATTAACCATAAGTTACTAGATTAATTATCCCAATAGATTAGAGGCAACAATCTAAATACGAAACCCGAGATGGATCCCGAGACTATATGTCATTGCCGATAAACTAACGATTGAATGAAATTGTTTTGGCAAAGGTAATGATGGATTAATGAAATGTTTGAGTTGATTTTGGAACTTGCCTACCCGGGGTGAAATTTTCCGAATGTGCCTACGTACTTTTCCGTTTGAGATGGAAGATCAAAGTCAAACAGGTAGTTCGATAAGGCTGTTTCAGGGCTTTTGAAGGTGTATGCTTAATCATGAGTGTGTGTATGCTTTGTGCAATTTTTGTGTGTTTGCTTTTTGCATAGAGTGTGTATGCTTTTGTGCATGAGTGTGTATGTTATGCTGCTTTGTGCATGAGTTTGTGGTGGTATGCTTTGGTGCATTTTGTTTAGGCATTTTGCCAAAATGTTGATTTTAAAATGGCTTTTTTAGCCAAAAATGAATTTTGATTTAAGGGCAATTTGGTTGCCAAAATGTGCGATTTTAGGCATTGAGTCGGCCAAAATGGTTTATTTTAAGAAGAGGCCCTTTGGCACAAAATTGTGTTGTTTTAGGCAATTAGTTTGCCAAAAATGTGCGATTTAGGCTTTAATGCACACGATTATCAATTAATCGGTGCGTTCGACGCTTAATCAGAGCAATTTTATTGTTCGAAACGTGATTGACCTTAAGGCTTTTAGCCACAATTATTGATTAATTGGGACTTAAAGCCGGAAATTGTTCGAAATAAGGCAATTGAACTCGTAGTTATTTAAATTAACTAGGCTCTTTTAACCCAAATATTTCGCGATTTAAGGCTTAATACCACAGTTATTAATTATAAAACCGGACATTTAAGCTTAATCGTGTTAAATTTAAGACAGTTTATTTGTTAAATGATGACGTGAATGCTTTATGCAATATGTAGAATTATTAAAAGAAGTAGAGAGAAATATGCAAATGAAGTCTAAATAAAATAGGCAGAGTTTTGTTTACCATTACCTGATTTAATCGACGACCGCTTTCTTAGCAAGGTCAATTTGAGTATTCACATGCCACCCGCCCTCACTGGCTAATCATAAAAATGATTTATGAGAGCCAGTGTGCCGTCTGAAGGAGCAAATTTTGAAGGGCGAACTCGGACCTTGGGCCAAATGGGAATTGGGGGCCTTAGGCTGAGTTTTGTGAATTTTGGGCCCTAGGCCGAGTTTGAATTTCGGCCTTAAGGCCGAATTGTGATTTTCCGGGCTCTTGCGGCCGAATGTGATTTTTCGGGCCTTCTGTGGCCTGAATGTGATTTTTCGGCCTCTGTGGCCTGAATGTGAATTTTTCGGGCCTTTGTGGCCTGGATTGTGATTTTTCGG